TACTTTACTCCACTTCTTGATTTCATAGTTTGTGTTAAAGATGATCTGTTTCATTTCCCTAACAGATTTAAATATTCTGTTCTTTTGCTGAATTTCTGGAATCTTGATTACTCTATTTCTAGGTGTAGATTTATTTTGGTTATGTCTATCTGGAGTTTTATCACTTATCTGATTGTCACTTCCTTTTTCCATGCTTGGGAAATTTTCAACTATTACTTCTGTAATAGACTTTTTATATCATTTATGTTGACTCTTATTTTATCACTGACACCAGTTACTGTTAAATTTTTTCATTGCACAGTCTTGCAGCCACTGAATTGCTTTTTCCTGATCCTTTGTTATTTTTATGAGATCTTTCTTTTTCTGATTGCAAGCTGCACGGCTGTGTTCAAGGCTTTAAAGTCTATCTTCAGTTTCTTTCAAATGGTTTTGCCTGCTTTCAGTGGAGTTTTCAGTTTCCTGACTATCTCTTTGAATCTGTTTCATATATTCTAAATACTTCTTATATGGTTCATTCAAGGTTTCCTTCATTTTCCTATGCTCCTCTCTTTTTTTTATCTATATCTTCTTCAGAGATGTTTAGCAATCAATTTATTTTCATTTCTTCATTTATCTGTAATATTTATGTTCTAATTTTTTCTACAGTCTCATGATGTTGTTTCTTTACTTTAGTTGCTATCACTTTAGAAACTTCAGGTGTATGACGCCCAATCTCTCCAGTGTTTACATCCCCCAGACTTGCTCTGCATGGGTGGGAGGCCAGAGACTGCCTTTTGCTTCTTCATGTTGACATTTTCATGGGATCTTCCAGACAATCAGGTAGTGGGGTCCAAGGCACTTCCTGCATTGACTACACTTTCTCCAAAGCATGACTGTTTGGTTCTCCTGGGCAGTGGTGTATATAAGTGTCTGAAGGTGGCCATTGGGTGCACTGTTGTGGGGCTGGCTTCTGCTTTTCTCACCTATGTTAGCTATTGACATCAGGAAGTGACCCTACCGGCAGCTGGTGTGCATGCAGGGGCTGGGCTGGCTGGTGTCTCCTGGATCCGAACTGATTACATATGAGAAGTATCCCCTATCAACATATGATTTTCTGTAACTTCTATCTGCAGATTCTGATAATTCCTTTATTCAGCTATACTTTGCTTTCTTAGTATTGACCACTTTATCATATACTATATCATTTACATATTTGTTGTTTTGATTCCTGTCATTTTTGCTAATAGGATCTAAGTCTCTTAAGGAAAAATATTTTGCCTCTTTTAGTCATCAAATGAAATACATATTTGTATAACACAGTAGGTGTTTGATAAACACATGTATCATTTATGAATCGATCAGACTAATTCTTCTTTGGGTCAAAGGAGGCTCTTGGAATCAATATATTCTGCAGAAACTCTCAGAACCTGTTTCTTATGTAAAGGGCAAGGGAAAATCAAACTATTTGCTTACAGACAGGAACCAGAAGAATCCAGAGGAAAACCACAAACCGTCCTGTCCTCAGTTTTTCATTTCCAAAGGCAGAAATTGCAGAAAGGTCATGGGACAGAAGCAGAACCACCCACAGATGAGAAGAGTAATTGTTAAACCATTAGCTTGAGGTCAGTCTGCCTGCATTCAAATTATAGATCTACTGATTGCCCTTGAGTGATCTTAGGACCTCCTTATGCTTCTGTTTTCTTATGTGTCAAGTTTGTGGACAAGAATATCTACCTTTGACATAATAATTCCTCAGGCTAAGACCTAGAAAAGATTTCCAAAAGTGCAGAGTTGTGGGGAGTGTCCATGAAATTGAATAGTTTTTGCTCAGTAGTTATCCTGAGGCATAGAGACTTACACTGATTGTGTACTATAGGTAACAAAACCAATTTTGGTACAGTAAGAGATATGGATGTATGTACAATTAAAGTTTGTGTTAGGCAGATTTCTCTTGTGTAACAAATTCCTGAGTGTAGTAAATTTGTGAAAAATAAATGATTTTTGTTGATCACAGTTTTTAGAGATTACAACCATTATTGTCTGACTCCATTGCTTCTGGGTCTATGGGGAAACAGGACATCACAGTGGGGGGCATCTGCAAGAACAAGATTTGTTTACTTCATCCCAAGTTAGAAGCAAGAAAGAGGTCCTACTATCTCCTCATGTGTGTGTGTGCCCAATGACTTAACCTCCCACTAGGCCCCACACCTTAAAATTTCTAACACCTTCCAGTAGCATCATTATAGGGACCAAGATTTTAGCATATGGAACTTGAGGAACATTCCAGAACCCAACTAGAGCAGAGATGTACACACTATAGGCAGAGGGCAGACTGTCTGCTTTGTAGTCTATTCTTTCCTTCTTATTTTGTGTAGAATATGGAATTCCAAGATAGAAACGCACAAAAATTCAGTTTTACTAGAAAATTTATTTTACCATGAGAGAAGTTTGCTCAATATAGAAGGTTGGGGGAGGTTAAAAGGTAAGGGAGAGAAGTCAAGATGGAGGGAGGACTGCTTGGTGACAAGGAAAATTAAACCTCTTTCCAATATCCATTTCACCTAGACTGAAAAGTATTTGAGGAAGTAAGGTCAGAGCATTCTAAAATTCTCTTTGTCTCTTTCTCTCTCTGTCTCTCTGTCTCTCTGTCTCTCTCTGTCTCTCTCTGTCTCTCTCTGTCTCTCTCTGTCTGTCCATCTATATTTCTCTGTTTCTCTCTCTCTCTGTCTCTTTCTGTTTCTCTCTTTCTCTTTCTCTCTCTCTCTCTCTCTTTCTCTCTCTCTCTCTCTCTCTCTCTCTCTCTCTCTCTCTCTCTCTCTCTGTCTTTCTGTGTGTCTGTCTCTCTCCTCTCTCCTTGTATGGTCACTCATGTGGATAATTACATACACATACACTCACACATTATTCACAAATAAATGTAGATGTATGGCCTTCCATTCTAGTATATAAGGTTGTTTGGCGATATAAGGTTGTTTCCATTAAACAAAGTTTAATGGAAAATTCAATAATATGTTGACCAGATAGTATCTAACACATCATTGCTGAAAGTTTGAGTATATACATCAGAATTTTAACTGTGCCCATCACACAGTGGCATGATGGATAATCGTTAGTTCTGCTCTTATTGGTATAATTTCATTCCTCTTACAAGCTTTAGGTTTTCTTTTTCTACTTTCCCTAAAAGATTTAGTTTCAATGTTAGGTTGTTTGTTTGAGCTTGTCCTTTTTTTATGTGAGAATTCATTGCTATAAATTTCCTTCCTTTTTTGTACCAGGAATCAAACTTACAAGCTTGCTATAGCCAGGCAGGTGCTCACTAAATTTCTTCCATAGAATTGCTTTCATTGAATTCTAGAAGTCCTACTTGTTATTTCAGCATCATAGTAGATACTGTTTAATTTCTGCTTTAATTTACACTGTGATTTAGGAAGGTGGTATTTAATTTCTATGTGATTTTGTAGTTTTGTGGTGTCTTTTGCTGTTTATTTCTATTTTCATTGCACTATGGTCAGATAATATTCATGAGATAATTTCAGTTCCCCTGCATTTACTTAAAACAAGTTTTATGGGTAATCTGTGGTCGGTTTTGGTGAAAGTCCTATGTGCTGCTGAGAGGAATGTATTTTAACATTGCAGGTTGAAGCACACTTTAGACATCTATTAAATCCATTTGTTGACATGCTTGGTTTGATTCCAGCCATTATTTGTTGAGATTTTTTGTCTAATTGATATGTCTATATTGTACTCAGGGTTGATAGGGGAAAATATTTAATAGAGGATGCGTAACTTATGGAATATTTTATAATATTCACTAAAAATGTCAAATGCCTAAGTGTGCAAGACTTCTTTCCATATGCTAGAGGGCCCGAGAATTTACCCGAGTATATGGTCTATGGCAATATTCTCCACGAATCCAGCTGGAGGCCTCACAACCATAACAATGTCTCATGTAAGTCTGTATCAAGGATCTGCCCTGGGAAGGACCAAAGGTCAGTGGTGGAAACTAGAAAATCTATACCAGTGGAATAAGAGATCTGTACAACAAGAATGTGGGATCTGCACAGGAGCCAGGAGGCAACATTTAAGGTAAGGAGGAGTGCACCAGGAATATTAACAGCAAACCATCTTCCCATCAAGTTCTTTTATGATGTTGGCAACAACATCATAGGTGGGCCTTCCACAATCAGAACTTTGAAGACTCAGTTCAGCTGGTTGTTACAAGTTGACCATTAGTTAAGCCACCATAATGTATTTCTGATATTGGGGCATTAAAATTCTCCATTACATTACGTTAGTGCTAGTTTTCTTTTCATGTCTGTTGTTATGTTTTAGATAGTTGGGTACACCAGTAATTGGTGCATCTATAGTTATAATTGTTATTTTTTTCTTCTTGGATTTCCCCCTCAACGGTTATTCAATAATCTTCTTTATTCACTTTGGGTCAGTCTTGGTTTGAAGTTCACATTCACTGCAAATATAATAGCTCACCCTTCTTTTTGGGTTCCTATAGCATAAATTATTGTTTTACACCCTTTGACTTTCAGTCTACCACTTCTTTTTGAGTGAAGTGTGTTTCTTGGACATAGCATATAGTGGGATCTTACTGCCAGTCTGTTTCTCTTCATTGGTGAATTGAGAACATTCACATTGATAGTTATAACTGACATGTATCAGCTTATCCTTCTTATAGTATTTCATTCTTCTTGTTTTTAACTCATACAGAGATGACCTCCAAGCAAACCCCTTACTCTGTTGCTCCTCAGTGTTCTTCTCAGTTCACTTACACAACAGGGTAGTTAAGACTCTGTCCACCACTTTGACACATCCTTCCCCTATCCTTTTCTTACAACATCCTATGAACTTCCAGGAGCTGGGCACTTCTCAGATGGGTGTATGAGAACCCTGGGATGTTGAGTGCCATTTGCTCTAGACTCCCTTCATCTTGATCCTTCGTGATAAATAATCTGGGCCCCTGCTCTTCTGTGTGAGTCCTTGTGCTCCCCTCTTACCATTTCACTTACAGTTAGACCTTTAGTTTCTGGAGGATGTAGATAGCAGAGACAATGATGGCCAGGATCGCCTTTGTGCTGAGCAGCAGAGCTGTGAGGAGTGTAGAAGTACAAGACTGCTCCGTTTCTAGAATTCAAAAAGAATGGAACCATTAGAGGGGACTTAATTGTTAGCAGCCTTCACTTGCACTGTATAAGGCTATCTGAATGCATTAAAGCTCTGAAACTTTGAAATTGCATTATATGTTCTATGTACTTGCTTTTGCCCAGGGTGTAAGCCAGGATAATGAGGAGTATTATTTACACTCACCCTAACCTCAGACAAGTAGGTTGTGCTCCTCAAGTGAAAGCATGAAGAATGTATACCTATAAACATATTTCCCCATTGTGGCACCTGGTTACATATTTGATACACACAATTCTGTGGGACAAGAAATATTATTTCCATTCTGATGAGAAAATTGAAACCTAGAGAATTTAAATTGAGCCATTAGGTTATTGAATCTGAACACAAAGAAGGTCTTCACTTTTATTTAGTATGGTCTCCAAAACTATGTTTTTTAAATGAAGAGGGTTTCAACTTAAGGACCATAAGAATACATAACACAGTCAGGCACATAGATTGAGCATGGTTTTATGATGAAGTAATTGTAAGTGTGCCTTGCTTAATGTCAGAGGTGACCTTGACAATCCTGTATTTTTAGGAAGCAAGTTTCATTGCAAAATGTTCCCAGAAAGCATTTAAGCCAACGTCTTGGTTTTCAGCTTGTGGTACTATTTGGAGATGATGGAAACTTTAGGAGATGAGGTCTATTTAGAGCAGTATGTCATTGGTTGCATGCCTTGACCCACCTTCTCCCCTCTGTTTCTGGCAGCCATGAATTGAGTTGTGTTGGCCTGGCAGACTCTCTTTCGTGGTCTGTTGCTTCATTCAGGCCTACGTAGAAGTGAGTTCTTTGGAACTCTAGCTTGTGCTTTATTTCTCGGTCTCTTCCCTCTCTCTGTGCATCTTGGCTGCTATGAGCTGAATAAGTTTTCTCCGTCACACCCTTCTACTGTGATCTTTCTGTGTTGCTACAGGTCAAAGAGTAATGAAGACAGTTAATCGTGGTCTGAAACTTCTCAAACTAAGAATCAAAATAAACTTTTCCTTTTTTATATTGTTCTTATCAGGCATTTGTCACAGCTCTGTAAAGGCAACTAACACAAGGTATCGTTGCTAAAACTTGCAATGGCAGTGAACTGGAATGATCAATTACTGGAGATTTCCTTGGTATCAGCTATTTCAAATGAATTGGGAAATGACAATTAAAAACATTCTGGTATTGGGTGATCTTTTTTTTTGGAGCAAAGACAATTAAAAGCTAAGATGAATTTAAGCAAGTTAAAGGTTAAGTGTGAAGCTAAAGGACTTGATAGTACTGTAGATGATTTTCTCCTGAAGCCAGAAGGCAGCCAAAAGAAAGACTGGAGTGCTAGACACAATTACAAAAGCAGCAGTCTTATACTTGAAGAAGAGTTTGGACTCTCTAATTCAATGTCTTGCTTTTCCTGGGATATGGCCTGAGGGAAGTTATAATACCCTGAAATAGAGGATGGAGACCAATGATTCAAAGCATTCAAAAACCTTTTGTTGAATTATGAGTTGCTAAGTACAATTCAAGCAACATTACTTCATGGAACTACAGTTCAAAAATTCTCACATCATGGATGTTTCAACCAAAGCAAAAATGCATCTTTTGTATCATTTAATTCCCAGTGCAATGTCAGCAAGAAGAAATTTTTTACACTTTACAGATAAGGGTCTGGGATTTTTCATGAGCTGGGTTTCATTTTCATGGTGGAGGGCAGAGCAATAAGAAAATCTAAAATTAAGTATCTCAGCCTCATACTTCAAAAAACTACAAAAGTAAGAGGGATGTAAGTTCAAAGCAAGTAGAATAAAGGAAATAATAAAAGAGCTATGAAGTAGAGAATCACCCAATCCCAAAAAGAGAGAAGGGACAATTCTTTGAAACAAAGTATTGATATTTTGAAAAGAGCACTGAAATTGAAAATACTCTGGCAAGACTGATGGAGAAAACACTATTATCACTGAAATATCAGCTATTACCACTGTCGCTGCCGATATAAAAAAGATAATAAGTGGGTAGTATGAGAAACTCTACACCCAGAAATTTGACAGTTTAGACAAACTGGACAAAATTTCTCACGAGTAGAGACTAGGATAATAGTCTCCGTTTACACTGAATGATGGGCATATCTCTCATCTATGAGTAAAGCTAAATCCACAACTTTAAAACAATTTAAAAGTATTTTGGAGGCTCAGATATTTTCAAAGGAAAAGTATATGACACATTTAAACAAGAAATGAAATCACTTTTGATGTATAAAGCTGTAATATATGAAAGGAATTCTGAAAAATTTGAGTATAAATTTTATATTAGATGATTGCAGGAAATTATTTTTATTAATGGCCACATTTTAGAAAAATGTCATCTGAACTTCGACTGTGCACTCTGTTTGCCCTGGATGTGCTTATTTAAGTCATTACTGGATGTGATTCTGAAGATTTCATATCTCTTATTAAAAGAGGATCTGTTTTCCTCTTCCTATTACTACTCTTCCTACAGGCAGGAGAAATCTGTGACCTAATGTTGCCCTAGCAACTGAAGCTTACAACATAGTACATCTTAGGTGGAATCTGGACATTTAAAGTGTCTTTTGACCATAGGCAGAAATTCTGACATTACAATAGACACAGGTAATAGAGGAAGGACTGACAAGCTGACCTCCATCATCCTAGCAACACCACCACCGTGGACAGAGCTGAAAATGCAGCAATTGCTCAAACATCAAAGATCCACACATGAATAAAATAACTAAGCACAATTCCCAGCACTCAGTGTACACTCAAAAAGAGGCAGCCCTTGTTAGGGTAAAAAGCAGATTCCATATGTCAGTTTTTAGCATGCATTACTCGGAATGCTGCCTTCATTGCATAATAAATAAAGGTATCACTAGGTACCTAGAAGCTTTGATTGCAGTAGCTGCCCAAGAATTACATTGCTGTTAGGTGAATAAGTGAAATTATGACCACAGTGCTACTATGGCTGTAGGAGCCTACATGGGAATAGTAGCTAGGTAGGACTCTTGGGAATGGTATTACAAGAGGTTTAGTTCTAGGAGCAACGTGGGAGAGCCAATTTAGTAGGCTGGGGTAGCTTGTGCTGGGGTCAGTATCAGGATCATCTATCTCAAACACTGTCCAACAAGTTGATAATGCCACGATAAGAGTCCTCCTGCAAAGTGACTTGGACCACCTCACAAATGACCTGTGAGAAATTGTCATTAGGGTCCAGCACCAACTTGGTTGTACTGGAGATGTTGTAGGAAATATCCTGTTGTTGGGGTCCATGCCGGTCTGGATATCACATGTTCATTTCCATTTTTGAACCACTTCAGGTAATGTTTTTGTGGAAGCAACCATGAAACTCGCTGTCTTCCCAAGGATGGCCCTTGCCAGAAGGCCTAACACCATGGGGGAGAGGGTCTAGATACAAACAAAACTTTTTTCCAGTTTTTTCATTTATCAGTACATGCTTGCATTATATAATGATTACATTCTTTGTCAAGGGTTGGCACACAAAGATAGTCATCTCGACTATATTTTTCATTCCCTTTCCGTTCCTTCCATCCTACTCCCTCTGTCTTTTGAAAAAGATCTATTTTCTTATTTCCTATTATCTATCTCTTCTTGTGCTATTTGTTGAAATTTTTGTACGTCATGTAAGATAAACCATGCATTATCTATGTTATGTAACTAATTTATTTCAATTAACATGGTCTCAGGAGCATCCATTTCTCTTTTTTTTTTATCTCTCTCTCTCTTTTTTTATCGGTACCGGGGATCGAACTCATGACCGCCTGCTTGCAAGGCAGGTGCTTATGCCGCTGAGCTAAATCCCCAGCCTTTGCATCCATTTTTCTACAACTGATGCAATTTTATCTTTTTTATGGAGAATATTACTCCATCATATATACATACCACATTTCATCTCTTGATGGACATATAGGTCCCTTCCAAAATTTACCCATTTTAAGTTGTGCTTCTGTCAATACCGGTATGCATGCATTATGGTAATATGATGTCCTTAACCTGGCAAAGGAACATCCAAAGACAAGAAATGTAATTATCATGACCACCACTAATATCAAACAAGTGACAATGTGAAAAGCCTCCCTGGATGCTATTATTGTTGCTGCTATCACCTTTGCAGTAGTGGAAATAGGTCCTTGATCATGACAAGTGTGTGGTCCACAATTGAACTATGACCATGCTGTAGCTGTTTCTGTGAATCATCCTAATAAAGCCAGGAAGGTAGTTTCCATAGCCACTTGTGTCATGGTAGAACATACAATTACCAGGTAGAGAGTGAGAAATGGAACACACGAGTAGAATGTAGAACTGAGGTCAAAGTCCTTTTCTTTGAACCAGGGAGTCTCCATCAGGCTGGGCACAGGACAGAAGTTATAGCCAGCTCTCACTCCATGTGTTATCTGTTCCCTACTGGCTTATGTTGAAAACATTGCCTACTTAGGAAAAGTGTTTATGGAAGCAAATACAGGAGACACATAATACTGGAACAGGAAGAGGAACCTGCAAGTTGAGTGGCTATCCTGAGACATGGCATCACATCCCGTCACTCCATCCATGAAGCAAGTGGCTTCATTCTCTTCTGCAGACCATCACAAAGATTAAATAAGGCTCAGTGAGCATTTTTGATGGATTATATACAGGAAAGGCTTGGGAAAAGCACACTAAGATCTATTCTAATTTAAGTAGGCACTTTATATGTTTTTACAAACATATGGCAGTGCATATTAACTGTGTCAAGTCCTGTATTTGAAAGGAAAATACTAGAGAGATGTATTTCTGAATCTAGAAGATTCACTTGGATCACTTTTTAACTTAGAAAGAGAGATCTCCAAAAATACAGTAAATGTAATGTGGTTAATTACTTTTTTATTTTAAAAAGATTAAGATAATAGAGGACATAACAAAACATATCAGAACAGAACAATTTAAGCAACATAGTGTTACAACACAAGACAACCTGACATAACAGTAGATACCATAGTGTCTTTTTCCTTGAAATATTTGAGTATAGCTTCATACATTATAGTATCAAACATAACAAGATAGTATAAAACCACTCAAGAGAATGAAAGTATTACAGGGTATTCAAAAACAACAGAAAATGAACAATTGTTACTATATTATCTCCTTGTACACAAAAAGTTTTGTTTATATTATCACATGTAATAAAAACCAATAAGATACAACATGATAAAACTGATGGAGACAGAAGAACAAAAGCTTGGTAGGACTTCAAACAAGATGATATTAAATCAGCACTAGCTATTATAATGTCTTGTTTTCTTCAAAATAGCTGTTCACACCATCACAGACAATAAAATCAAACAACCCAGAATAAAACTATTCCAACTAATGAAAGAAAATATTATAAGCTTCAAAGCAATATAACGGGGAATTATGATTACCACATACTATATGTATTCTTACCATTTCTTACACCAAAGAGACTTCATAGTATTTATACACGTGAGTTTGATTTATTTCTCTTATGAGTACGGTCTCAAGCTGTATCCATTTATTTATAAATATCTCAGTGTGATCATTCTTTAAACCTGATAGTACTCCATTGTATAAAAATACCACAGCTTTTTTATCCATTCCTCAGTTGATGGACACTTAGGTTGTTTCCAAGATCTGGCTATTACAAATTGTGCTGCTATAAACGTGGGTGCACATATATCACTGTGTTTTCAGTTCTTCTGGGAATATGGAATAGCTGGAACAAATGGGACTTCCAATCACAGCTTTGTGAGAAATCTCCAGACTGACTTCCACAATGGATGCACCATTATACACTCCAACCCACAGTATAGGAGAGTTCTTTTTTCCCCACAGCCTCTCCAGCATTTGTTGTTGGTAGTCTTCTTGATCCTGGCTATTCTTACAGGAGTGCGATGGAATCTCACTGTGGTTT